TGATTTGCTGCCAGATCTCTAGGTGGTAGCCTGGTAGGGCTGTGCGTGGCCTGCAGAGGGCCCGGCACCATGTCAGGGAGCGGGTCCATGCCAAGTGCGGAGGAGCCCAGCCCCACCTCCATCCCTAGAGACCAGCGGCTGGTTTTCGCCTCTTCCTGCAGGGCCTGTGTAAGCTCGGCTCGGCTGGGGGGACAGACTTTAGCATGAAGCAGTTTGCTGAAGGCTCCACTCTCAAACTGGCCAAGCAGTGTCGAAAGTGAGTTATTTGGTCGCTGTGGCTCCCGACTGGACCCGTCAGCTCGGCCTTGAGAGAAAAGTGTGGGTGGAGGGCGGGGCCTCCTCTCTACCCTGCTGTGCCCCAGGCGGACCCTCCTGAGTCCTGCCATGTGTGCTGCTTCGTGTGTAGAGGGGACACGCCCCTGTTCCGATCCCCCTCCCCCGCATGTCCCCAGGTGGCTGTGCAATGACCAGATTGACCCGGGCACTCGGCGCTGGGCAGTGGAGGGCCTGGCCTACCTCACCTTCGACGCTGACGTGAAGGAAGAGTTTGTGGAAGATGAGGCTGCCCTGAAGGCTCTGTTCCAGCTCAGCAGGGTAGCTCCTGGGCTCCGCTAGTCATCTGGGAACAGAATCTGGGATTAGAATTGACCAGGCTTTCTTGGCAGGTCTTGGTCAGTGGCGCCTGTGGCGCCGGGGCGGGAGGGCTGGGAGCCCGCGGGGCCGCTCTGTGGCCTGGGCCTCTGGGGCTGCACGGGCAGCGTCGGACCGGACAGTGTCTCTGGAGCAGTTAGGGAGGTCGCAGGTGTGAGCCCCCAGAGTCTGGGGCCAGGTTGGGCCTGGGAGCATCCCTCGTTCATCCTGGCGCCCCAGTGGTCCAGCCGAGGGTAGACTTGGAGGCCCGGGTGGCATTTGTCCCATGCTGCTCTGTCCCCGGACGGCGCCCCGACCGCCCCCGTCCTGCCCGCAGTCCGAGGAGAGGTCGGTGCTCTTTGCGGTGGCCTCGGCGCTGGTGAACTGCACCAACAGCTACGACTATGAGGAGCCCGACCCCAAGATGGTGGAGCTGGCCAAGTACGCCAAGCAGCACGTGCCCGAGCAGCACCCCAAGGTGAGGGCGCCCTTGACCCGGGGCGCCCGCAGCAGCCTCCCGTTGAAGCGGGTTTCTTTCCCTCTGTGTTCACGTCCGTCGGTTTGTGCCGCGAGCAGGGCCTCCCTCTCCCTGTCCCGTCAGCCGGGGCCCCTCTGCTAAGCTAAGCTGCCTCCTTCCCAGGACAAGCCGGCTTTCGTGCGGGCTCGGGTGAAGAAGCTGCTGGCGGCGGGCGTGGTGTCGGCCATGACGTGCATGGTGAAGACCGAGAGCCCCGTGCTGACCGGCTCCTGCCGCGAGCTGCTGTCCAGGTGAGCCGGCCTCGGCGCCGCCAGACCTCCGAACTCGGGAGCGGAGGAGCAGCGGGGCCACCTGCGGAGCCGCTGGCCGTGACCGAGCCTGGGCCCCGGGGTGTCTGCCGGCCAGAGCCGGCTCCCGCCCACCCACGCCATCTCCCCGCAGGGTCTTCCTGGCGCTGGTGGACGAGGTAGAGGACCGCGGCACGGTGGTGGCTCAGGGCGGGGGCAAGGTAAGCTGGCTTACAGACTCCTTCCCGAGGGTCTAGAAAACATGACTCAGCGGCTGCCACACCAGTGACGAGGCCGGAACACAGTACGAGGGACCCGCAGGAACGTGTTCCTGCCGAGTGAGCGATGCTCACGGGGGCGGGTCTGTGCCTCTGGAGATCCTGACTCTCCTCCTTTCTCCTGTGCGGCCCGGGGCCCAGCACAAGCCGTGGCTGGCCCTTAATAAGTGTGTGTGGAGGAGTTTGGGCAGCTTAAGGAGAGGCCTGAGGGGGGAAGAGGGTCTGGGGCAGGGAGTGTCACAGGCCTGAGGGAGGAGAGAAGTGAGTGCGCCGATGTCAGTGCTCGGGGGCTGGTGCTCTGGGCCTTACCCTCCAGGGCACATCTCAGACCCTGGCGGCTCGGCTCGTCCCCACAGGCTCTGCTCCCGCTGGCGCTGGAAGGCACTGATGTGGGCCAGACGAAGGCAGCGCAGGCTCTTGCCAAGCTCACCATCACCTCCAACCCAGAGATGACTTTTCCTGGCGAGCGGGTGTGTGTCTTGTTGTCCCAGCCCTGGCCTCTCCCCTACCCCGCACTGGGCCCTGATGGCCTCTGACCTGGGCTCTGGCTCCTCCTGGGGACAGACAGGAAGTGGTGGCCCTGCTGAGGCCCGGGGTGGCGAGGGCAGCCTTCTCTCTGGGAGTGGCCTCTCACCTCCGGGTCGGTGGGGATGGGGGCGGCACAGGTGAGCGCCCTGACAGGTGGCTGTACCACAGATCTATGAGGTGGTCCGGCCCCTCGTCTCCCTGTTGCACCTCAGCTGCTCAGGCCTGCAGAACTTCGAGGCACTCATGGCTCTCACCAACCTGGCGGGGATCAGCGAGAGGCTCCGGTAAGGTCCCCGGGACAGCACTTTCCAGTTTGAAGAGCAGTCTTCGGTCACGGCTTGACTTGAGCCTCACAGGCCCGTCCCTGTACCTGGGGAGGCAGGCCCTGAGGTCTGACTTGTACCACGGTCCACCAGTGGGCGAGGCCCGGGGCGGTGATGGTGCGCGCCCTGGAGTCCGACCGCCTGGGTTCACATCCTGACTCCACTGGTCGCTAGTGTGTAACGCAAACAAGTGCTGCTCCGTGCCTCAGTTTCCCCTCTGTGGAATGGGATGGGCACACTCCCTCCACACTACCAGGAGTGGTAGTGAGCAAAAAATGAGAAAATACACACACAAACCCTGAGTATGTGGCACCTGGCTCCCTCCCAGGAGTGTGGCCAAGTGGTACGTGTCCACTGTCACCGCAAACGGTGACATTGGGCTCCCTGTCTTCACTCAGCTTCAGTTTCTTCTTCTGCAAAATAGTGATAGTAAGCATACCTGCGCCTTCACTGTAGGGCCATGGTGAGGATTAAGAGAGTCCAACCCCTGGGGCAAATAATACATTATATGTTAATTAGAAAAAAAAAGAAGTCCAAGTTCTGAGTCAGGGTACGTGCTTAAATGTTAGATGTTAGTTTAGCATCACTGTCAGCAGCCCCCTGGTCTCCGAACTCCCTGCTGTAGAGCATTTTCCATGGTCCCGTGCTACGTCCTAGGCTTGCTGAAGACGCTGGCAGCCACCGCAGTTCATGCCTGTTGCAGGAGGGTCTCTGGTGCCTGGGAGATCCTTGACCTGGGGCTCGATTGTGTGGGAACGCGGGGATGGGGGAGGCAGAGGCGGAAGCGCTGAGGCTGCTGACCCCTCCACCCCGGCCCCGCAGGCAGAAGATCCTGAAGGAGAAGGCCGTGCCCATGATCGAGGGCTACATGTTCGAGGAGCATGAGATGATCCGCCGGGCAGCCACGGAGTGCATGTGCAACCTGGCCATGAGCAAGGAGGTGAGGGCGGCCCGGGGGGGGTCACGCAGACAGGTGCGTGGTGGCACCCGTGCCCCACTTGGCTCTGCTGCAGCCTGCTCAGTCCCCTCCTCTCCTGTGGCCTCAGGTACAGGACCTCTTTGAAGCCGAGGGCAATGACCGACTGAAGCTGCTGGTGCTGTACAGCGGTGAGGACGACGAGCTGCTGCGGCGGGCCGCGGCGGGGGGCCTGGCCATGCTCACCTCCATGCGGCCCTCGCTCTGCAGCCGCATCCCCCAAGTGGTCAGTGCCTCTTGGCTGAGAACGGGAGGCGGGTCTGGAACGCCCTGCATGGCCCCGGGTTGGGGGACATCCCGGGACACACGGGAGTGCTCCTGCCAGGTTTGAGCCTGCTGCTCGGTGGTGACTGGCGACGCTGCCCTGTTTCCTGCAGACCACACATTGGCTGGAGATCCTGCAGGCCTTGCTCCTGAGCCCCAACCAGGAGCTGCAACACCGGGGTGTGGTGGTGGCACTGAATATGGTGGAGGCCTCGAAAGAGATCGCCGGCACCCTCATGGAGAGCGAGGTGCTGGAGATCCTGTCGGTGCTGGCTAAGGGCAAGGAGAGCCCTGTCACCAGGGCTGCTGCGGCCTGCCTGGGGAAAGCAGTGGAATATGGGCTTATCAAACCCAACCAGGGAGGAGAGTGAGGGCCTGCCTCATGCACACGCGCGCTGCAGCAGAGGAGGACGGACACAGCTTTGGCTGCTGCGGGCTGGGATGCTGAACACTGGCCTCTCCTCCCTAGCTGCCCCCTGATGTCCCCTGCTGAATCAGGGACCACGGGCAGTCACGGCCCTGCTCTGCCAGCACTACCTCCCGCCTCACACAGCAGGGCCCTTGTGTACTACTGTAGACAGCTGGGAATCTGGCCCGCACGTTCCCGGCCTTGGGAAGGGCACATCCAGCAGCCGCACCAGCTAGGAGCCTCACCTGAGCCTGCCGGCGGGACCACCCCGACCCTCTAGTAAGAAGTATGTGGGACTCAAATGCGCGCCCTGTCCCTCGGCAGGGACCTGGCTGTGGGCCAGTCTCTGGAGCGGGAGCCAGGTCTGGCTGTGTGCGCAGCAGTTAGCTCTACGGAAGGTATCCTACGGATTCCTCACCCCGGAGCCTGCTGAGTGCTGTGTAGTTCTGTTGGAGGATCAGGGTAAACCTACGAAGCTAATAAAAATCTATTCAGTCGCGTGGGAATCAATGGCTGTGGACTCCTCAGTGCTGGTCCTTCAACACTCTTGTCTTTGTATTGAGAGTTCCCAGTGGCCTGCACTCGGGCAGTGCTCTGCATCTGGGGCCTGCTCTCCCCTCGAGGAAAAATCCTGTAGCACGTCCTGGTGACAGCAAGAGCTCCACCACCTGCCGGGGCGGAGAGCCGCGAGAGCTTGCTTCCGCTCTGGGAGCGAGAGTGAAGCTCATTGGCTCGCAGAGATGAGTGACAGGCCCCGAGCCAATGGAAGGCCAAACTCGCCGAGGCGCCCGCCTAGGACGGCCGCTTCCTGTGGGGCCTGAGTCCCTCTCATGCGGGTCGTGAGGCGCGGCCGTCCCGGGCTGAGAGGAATGGCGGGGTGCACGCGTCGCCGCGGTCGCTCCTCGCCAGCTCTGCAGCTCGGATTCTAACTCGAGCTCCGCGGCCCCGTCCGGCCCACCTCTGCCTCGGGCCCGCGCCCTCCGGAGGTTGCCCGACCTCACACCCTAGGCTGCAGCGGCCCAGCGCAGGCCCTAGGTCCGGGTCGACCTCGATCGGACGGGACACGCGGCTGACGGGACGGGCGGCGGGCGGGACTGCGGGTGCAGAGGTGGGTACGGAGGTGAGCACCGCCCTGCGGCTGCGCGCCTCGGGCGGTGACATCACCGCCCTCGCCGGCGATTGGCCCGGGGAAGCTGCGGCAGCCAATGGGCGCCTGGCCCAGGCCGCGGCTCTTCAAACCTTTCCTCCGCGGCGACTGGCCGCCGGTCCCGGGCGGCTACCCTGCATCCCGGCTTTTCCTCCCTCGTGACTGCGGGTCGGGAGTTGCTGCCCGAGGAGGGTGGAGGGCACAGGGTCAAGATCAAAGGTCAGAGGCCCCCTTGGGTCGGGACTGGGCTCGGAAGGGGTTAGGAGCCCAGGTCCGGGTCAAGGAGCTTTGCAGGGACCCCGAACGGAAAAAGCGGTGGTGCTTTTGTAACCGCGGGACTGTATGTCATTTACATGTGAGCTCTCTGGGTGCAGCCAGCCGTCTCTCTCATCCGCCGAAAGGACGGCATCAGTAAATGCTTGTAGAACGAATAAGTGACTAGGTGAGGTCCAGCTGAAGTTGTGTATAGGTCTCTTGAGAACCAGTAAGTACCACTGGACTTTCTAAAATCAACTCTAAGCCCTGCATTAATAAGCCAGTACTTAACCTTGTGCCCATCGTGGTATGGGCCAGACCTGAACCGTTTATTTCCATCTGTTCCACACGGTTCTACAGGGTGTGTACAAGCGGCACCCTCTCCTGTCCCGTGCCTTTGTAAAACTGAAGAAACTGAGTTGCATTCAGAAAGCTTAAGTGATGGACCAAGGACACGGGCACCGCTCCCTGCTGATGGAAACACGTGAACCCTGGGGCTGGCCAAACCTGCACAGGGCGCTGTCTCCCAAACGCTCTGTTTTGTCCTGGTGGGAAGAGCACTGTTGTTTGATTTTAGCCCTCTGCCCCTCTTGGTCCTAAGTTGTGTGATTGTGTAAGGGTTACTTTCTCTAGGAGTCTCTTCTGTCAAATGGGGGTAATTCTGGTTCCCAAGATGACATGGGATAATGAGCCTAACCCTGGGAGTTGGAGGTGCTCAGATTCTAGGACAACGTCTAACGGAGAGGACACTTAAGTACCTGGGGCCCAGTCTGTGGGGCAATGAGCTTCCCTGAGCTAAAGGGAAGACAGGGCAAGTGTCCCCATTCTAGGCAGCTTAGAATCTTCCTCAGTCTGGTGGGATTCTTAACCCTGTTCCGCCTCCCACCCCATTCAGGTGGCGGCCAGCAGAGGGCGCGACCCGAGCATGGCCGAGGAGCGCCGGGGATCCTGGTTTGGCTTCGGTTTCTGCGGCTTCGGGCAGGCGCTGGGCTCGGGGCGCGGGCAGCAGGTGCACAGCCCCGAGCCGCTGGAGACACCCGGCCCGGGCGCCGACGTCTGCCGCGTGAGCGCCAGCTGGAGCTACACCGCCGTCGTGACCCGTGAGCGCCCCTCTCCGCCCCACTTCCGCCCTCGCCCCGGGTGCGTGGTCCTGCCGCCCCCCAGCCAGCCCTCCGCTCCCGCAGGTGGAGGCCAAGTGCAGCTTTCGGGCGCGGCCGGCGGCGCGGCGGGCGGCTGCAGGGACGCGTGGGCCTCGGAGGCGCTCCTCGTGGTGCTGCGCGCCGGGCCGGCAGTCGGGCCCGGGCCGGAGCTGCAGGCCTGGGCGCCGGGTTCGGCGCTGCGCGGAGAGCCCCTGTGGACCCACACGCTGGTGCCGGAGGCCGAGCGGGAAGACGCCGCGGGCGGGGAGCCCCAGGCCCAGGCGCTGCCCCTGCTGCCCGGCGCGCGCGCCTACGTGAGTCCGCGGCCGCCCTTCTACCGGCCTCTGGCCCCGGAGCTGCGGGCGCGCCGGGTGGAGCTGGGCGGCGAGCACGCCTTGCTGCTGGACGAAGCGGGCCAGGTGTTCTCCTGGGGCCAGGGCAGGTGAGGGGGGCGTGGCCGTGTGGGGGCCGCGGGCGGGGGCGGGGCGGGGGCGGGGGCAGATAAACCTGGCCCCGAGTGGGAGGTGAGCGTGGGAAGTGGCCGTCTGGGGACCCGTGCGTGAGACTGGGGCAGGAAAGGGAGGGGGACCCGCTTGGGCTCTCCCTCGCTCAGGCACGGACAGCTGGGCCACGGGACTCTGGAGGCTGCGCCGGAGCCGAGGCTGCTGGAGGCGCTGCAGGGCCTTCCCATGGCTGAGGTGGCCGCGGGTGGCTGGCACTCCGTGTGTGTGAGCGGTAAGTGACAGACTCAAGATCTTCTAGGCTCCAAACCTTCTTCCCCCTCTTCCAGTGTCGGCGGGTGGTCTAGCCAGACCTCCTTCCAAGTTCATCCCATGTTAATCCGCCTGCGGTTCAGGATTCAGCCCGCTCTCTGCCCCGCCATGATGTGTTCACACCCGACTGTTGCCCTTGACTTCTGTTGCTGGGCTCCCTGCCTCTCCCATCCCTCCGCCTCCAGCCGGGGCTGCCTTCCTAAAACACTCTGCAAGGGCGCAGGAAGGGGTGGGGGGCAGCTGAGCTGAGGAGAACGGACAAGAAAGGATGCAGGGGGTCAGGTGGCAGTGATGTGCGGCACACAGTGGCCTCACAGATGCCCACAGGGAGGAGGATGGGGGTGAGAGTGAGCCCAGAATGGGGACCTTCGTTTGGGATCCTACGTCCACCGCCCTGGCAGGCCACCCAGCTGCAGCTGATTCCCAGGCTGTCGGGTGGGGCTGGGAGCAGGTGGTCTTTGCAAGGGTCTGCACCTGGGGCTCTGGCTGGGCTCTGGACGCTTCTATCCCGGGGGGTGGGGGCAGCTTTAAAAAACATGTGCCTACACCACCACCCCCCTAGTCTCCTGTCATGAGCCTGGCTTCGCAGACAGTTGTGAAAACTAGTGGGCTGGAGGGAAGGGAAGACAGGACTAGAAACAGCCAGATGGGAAGTCTCCCACTTCAGGAAGTTTTGAGTTCGTGACAGTGTTCGGAGCACAGACGCTTGAGAATAAAATAAGCATGTTGTCCTATAGCTCTCTGTAGGGCGCTTCTGAGAATTAAGTGATTATATTTGAAAAGTGCTTAAAATTCTGGCACCAAGTAAACACTTGATAAAAATTAGCTGCTGTCATGGGTGAATTTTTACAAGAGAGGCAAGGAAGGTCAGAGCTTCCAGAAGAGGCCTCCAGCGGGGCCTGTGGTGGCCGGGGCTGAGGAAGGGGGTGTCGTGGGCTCAGTGGGTTTGAAAGGGAGGCCGTTGGGAATTTCCAGGGATGCATTTATGAAGCATGTGTGGTTGGGTGTTCCGCGAAAGGGAAGCTTATGTGAAGCGACTTCCCAAGGAGCTGGAGACCAAAGGGAAAGGCCCACAGGTCCAGCTTGACAAGAAACGGTTTACTAAGGAAGCTTCCGGACTCCTGTTGGGCTGCTGCAACAGGGCTGTGACTGCACCCCCTTCCAGTCAGACCTGCTTTTATAGCCCTAGCGTCTGGGATGCCGTGCTGGGGGCCACCCAGGAGGAGAATGTTCGAGATTAGTTCTGTGTTGTCCCAACTCCAGAACAGATCCAAGGACCTTATGCCTCCAGGGCGTTCTTAAGGGTCGTTACTTGTGTGATTTAAAAAGAGAAAGTGTGTCCAGGGGCTGTTCTCACGAAGGCTTCATTCAGGTCTCCGAGCTGTCGTCATGGCAGCTTTGTGCAAGATGGCATTTGTCCCCACATGGGAGGTGGGGAGGGGGCAGTTTAGCAACAAAGGGAAAATGAAACTGGAGAGGAAGGTCCAGGAGACTCTGAAGAAAGGATGACAAGGAAGGCACCTGACTGGGGGAAGGGAACCTGTAAGACCAGAAAGCTGCTGGGGCCCGCCGGAGGCACTGCCCGGCGTGTCGCCTTGGGCAAGGCAGGCGTTAGTCATCCCCGGGGAGCTGGTGGGTATACAAGGCATTTGGGTGGATTCAGGGGGGCTTAGGAGGGTGACGGTGCAGTTCACAGTCTGTTTAATGGGTGCCCTTTGTCTCTTTTTCAGAGACGGGGGATATTTATGTCTGGGGCTGGAATGAATCCGGGCAGCTGGCCCTGCCCACCAGGAGCCTGGCAGAGGATGGAAAGACCGTTGCCAGGGAAGGTGAGGGTCTGTCTTCCTCATGTGTTTCTGTCCTTCCTGCCTCCTGGCCACATGCCGGCCGAGACCTTGGAGTGCTTGGAAGGGACATGGGTCGTCCTTGGGACCCCAGGACCCTCTGTGGGACTCCGGGCTCTGGGGGGGCTGCGGTATGGCAGGGCTGTTGTCAGTGTCCGCAGCCCCTCCACCCCCCATGGCTAAGGTGTAGCCAGAGCTCCGCCTAGCCGTCACCATCCTCCCCACTCTGTCACTGCTTCTCTGAAGCCGGCGGGCGGAACGAAGGTGACTCCAACGTGAGGACAGTGGGGAGTGAGGACGGAGCCCCAGCCCCCTTCATAGCCATCCAATCCTTCCCTGCTTTACTGGATCTGCCCTGGGGCGCGGAGGCAGCCCAGGCCAGCTGTGGCTCCCGGCACACGGCGGTGGTGACAAGTGAGTAGGGCTGGGCGGGCAGCAGGAAGTCCCTCCATCCCGTCCCTTAGCTGGCGCCGCAGAGAAGGCTGTGACCCCCTCAGAAACCTGTACTTGAGGTGTCTCCGACAAGCACTGAGTGGCCGCCTCCCTCCGTGAAAACAGCCCCAACCTCTGGGGCTTGAACAGGTGCCCCCCAGCTGTCAGGCTGCGGTCCCTCCTCCTGCTAAGACCCCTGTGCCGCTGTGAGCGGGCAGGCCCCTCCGCTGGCATACGGGAAGGTAAACCTCTTGCACCGGGATCCTTTCCCACCCTGGCCGCCGCTGCGCGGAGACCGTTGTTGGAGAAGGTGCTGTGCTATGCCAGGCAGAGCTCGGGACACTTGGAAGGTGCTGGCTGTGGACTGTGGCAGGCCACGCTAGACAACTTCTTGTGACAGCCCCTTATTGTCCTTCTGGTTGTAGGGACTGGGGAGCTCTACACCTGGGGCTGGGGTAAGTAAGAGGTTTGCTTGTGTGATGCTTAAGCCAGGGGAGGAAGGGACCAGGGCATAGAGGGCCTGAGCCCTGGGACGTCTGGGATGGAAGTGCTGCGGGCCCTGGTCTAGAACAGAGCCTGGCACTCGGAAATCCGGGACCACACAGGAGCGAAGTGGATGTTAGTGCTCCCTGTGGGTCTTTCTGAAGAATTGTCTTGAGGGAATACTTAGGCCGCATTTAGGACACATCTGTTGGTCTGGCACTGGGGAGGAAAAAAAGTTAAAAATCTGTGTTCTGAGTGTCTGGAGTTCAGAGCAGAGAACCTGGAACACCGTCTTGCCTGGTGTGGTTGGTGGCAGCCGCCTCTTGGGGACCTGGGGGGGGGTCTTCCCGGCCCCGGAGGCTCTGTGGCGCTGGGCTCCTGAATTCCCAGAGCAGACCGCCCAGAGTGGTGGGTTAACCCTGCCCTTTGCGGGGCGGCCTGAGTTTTTTCCTTCCTTCCTGGAGGGCAAGAGCCCCAAGGCCCAGAGGAGAGGATGGCCAAGGGGCTCCCTTCACTTTAGGTAAATATGGACAGCTTGGCCACCAGGACACGGCCAGCTTGGATCGGCCCCGCCGTGTGGAATATTTTGTAGATAAGCGACTGCGAGTCAGGGCCGTGAGCTGTGGGCTCTGGAACACCTACGTGTATGCCGTGGAGAAAGAAGAGAACGGGCAGCCACAGCCACGGGCGTGAAGTGAGCGTGCACTAGAGTAGATGATACACTTGCACCCGGGAAGCACCCCCCCAGCCAAGGAAACCACTGCCGGCCCCCTTGATGCCCACCATTTGCCCTCCCCGCCACAGCCCTCCTGCCCTGCCCTGGAGCCCCGTCTTCAACTTCGTCCTCATGTTGGACACACCTAAAGAGCTTTGGAAGGGCATGGCCGAGGCCAGCACGGCAGACACCATGAAATCTGAAGCCCTGGGTGGGGATCATCAAGCTCTCGCAGCCGACCCAGGTGATTTGAGGTCGTGCGGAGATTGGGGACCAGCAGGGGTCATCTTGGTCATCTTTCCTCACCTGTTTTCACTTGGGATTGTACCACTGCGTCGGTATTCGGGAGAGTTTAGTTTGTTTGCTTTGGATTTTATGTGACTAGAGTCACTCTGTGGCTGTCCCTTTGTGTCGTGTTTCTTCTTTCAACACCATATGATCGTGTTGTGCTCTGCAGTCCATTCATTTCTACTGCCCTGCTGTATTCCGTTGTGTGAATATACCTCGTTGTGTATTCTTCTGTTGGGGTCATTTTTCCTTTTATTGAGTTAAAATACACATAAAAGGGGCGCCTGGGTGGCTCAGTGGGTTAAGCCTCTGCCTTTGGCTCAGGTCATGATCCCAGGGTCCTAGGATCAAGCCCCGCATGGGGCTCTCTGCTCAGCGGGGATCCTGCTTCCCCCTCTCTCTCTGCCTGCCTCTCTGCCTACTTGTGATCTGTCAAATCTTTAAAAAATAAAATAAAGTACACATAAAAAATGTACCGTCTTAACCATTTTTAAGTGTGTGTCTCAGTATTAAATTCCCATTGATGTGCAACCGCCGCCGCCATTGACCCCTGGGGCTTTCCTCATCTTGCACAACTTGTTACCTGTTAAACAGCCACTCCCCACTACCCCTGGCCAACACCATGATACCTTCTGTCTTTCTGATTTTGACTATTCTGAATCATCATTTGTGTCACTAGCTTATGTCACTTAGCCTAAGGTCCTCAGGGTTCATCTGTGTTGTAGCAGATTCCAGAATTTCCATTGCAGCACTGACCACATTTTGTTTATCCATTCATCGGTTGATGGGTGCTGGCTTGGATCCAGGTTTTAGCTGCTGTGAATGATGCTATGAATCTAGGTGTGCAGATATTTCTTTGAGACCCTGTTTCCTGTTCTTTTGGGTATATATTCAGAAGTGGAATTTCTGGGTGATATGGTAATTCTATTTTTTTTACCTTTTTTTTTTAAGATTTTATTTAGACAGAGAGGATCACAAGTAGGCAGAGAGGCAGGCAGAGAGAGAGGAGGAAGCAGGCTCCCCGCTGAGCAGAGAGTCTGATACGGGGCTCGATCCCAGGACCCTGAGACCATGACCCGAGCTGAAGGCAGAGGCTTTAACCCACTGAGCCACCCAGGCGCCCGGTAATTCTATTTTTAATTTGTTGACGAGCCTATGTACTGTATTCCATGGAGGCTGTACCGTATTTAATTCCTACAACAGTGTATAAGGTTCCAATTTTCCCATAGCCTCGCCCAATACTGGTTGTCTGTTTTTCTCCATAATGACCATCCTAATGAGTGCAAGGTGCTATCTCCCTGTGGTATAAATTTGCATTTCCCTAATGTTTAGTGATGTTGCGTGCTTTCCATGTGCTCATTGGCCTCATAGATCTACTATGGAAAAATGCCTATTCAAAGGTTTTGGCTGTTTTTTGAATTATTTGTTTTTGTTGTCGAGTTTTAGGAGTTCCATATGTGTTCTGTATATTAAATCTTCATTAGATATGTGATTTTGAAATATTTTGTCCTGTGGGTTGCCTTTTTTTTTTTTTTTTTTTATTTGACAGAGATCACAAGTGCAGAGAGGCAGGCAGAGAGAGAGGAAGGGAAGCAGGCTCCCCGCTGACCAGAGAGTCTGACGCGGGGCTCGATTCCAGGACCCTGGGATCGTGACCTGAGCCGAAGGCAGAGGCTTTAACCCACTGAGCTACCCAGGCGCCCCAATGTGGGTTGCCTTTTTACTCTGTTAACAGGGTCTCTTGATATAAGAAACAAACAAAAAACTTTAATTTTCATGAAGTTCAACTTGTTTTTCCTTTGTCATCTGTGCTTTTGGTGTCCTATTAAAGAAGTCATTGCCAAATCCAACATCATGAGGCTTTTGTCCTGTGTTTTCTCCCAAGAGTTTTATTGTTTCAGGTCCTACATTTAGACCCTTGACCCATTATGAGGTAATTTACATGTATGATATTAGTTAAGGGTCCAACTTTGTTCTTTTTTGTGTGATTGTCCAGTTTTCTGTGCAGCATTTGTTGAAAAGACTGTTGTGTTCTTACTGAATGGTCGTGGCACCCTTGTCACAAATCATCTGACCACATACGCAACAGTTTACTTCTGGGCTCTCTGCTCTGTTCTTTCAGTCTGTATGTCTGTCCTCATGCCCGTGCCACACTGTTTGATTACTGAAGCTTTCCTAATAGTTTTCAAAATCAGGAAGTGTGAGTCCTCTAGTTTTGTTTTTCTTTTTCAAGAATATTTTGGCTATTTGGGGTCCCTTGAGATTGCCTATGAATTTTAGGGTGAGTTTTTCTATTTCTGCCAAAAAAAAAAAGTCATTGGGATTTCGATAGGGATTATATTGAATCTATAGATCACTTTGGGTAGTGTTGGTATCAATAATATTATGTTTTCCAATCCATGAACATGGGATGTATTTCTGTTTTCCATTTATTTATGTCTTTAATTGTTTTCAGCAGCATTTTGTAGTTTTCATTGTACATGTCTTTTACCTTGGTTAATTCCTAAGTATTTTATTCTTTCTGATTTTATTGTAAATGGAATTGTTTTTATAATTTCCTTTTCATATTGTTCATTGTTTGCCTATAGAAATGCATCTTTTTTTGTGTATACTGAGTTTGTATCCTCCTCCTCTGCTGAATTCATTTACTCCAACAGTTTCTTTGTGGATGCCAGGATTTTCTATATGTAAGGTCATAGTCTCCGCAGACAGATGGTTTTACTTCTTTTCTTCCAATATGAATGCTACTTATTTTGTTGCCTCATGGCTCTGACTAGGACTTCCAATATTGTGCTAGATAGAAGTGGTGAGAGTGGGCGTCCTTATCTTGTTCCTGAACTTAGAGGAAACGTTTTCAGTGTTTCACCATTCACTATTATGTTTGCTTTGGGTTTTCTATATATAGTTTTTATTATGGGGAAGTAGTTTCCTTCCTATTTTATTGAGTGTTTGTATCATGAAAGGGTATTGAATTTTGTCCGATGCTTTTTCTGCATTGATTGAGGTGATCATGTGGGGTTTTTTCCCCTTCATATTGTTCATGTGGTGTATTACATCAATCGTTCTGGTACTCCAAGAATAAATCCCCTTTGGTTATGGTGTGTAATCCTTTTAAAATGCTGCCCAGTTCTGTTTGCTTGTATTTTGCTGAGGATTTTTGCATCCATGTTCAAAAGGGATATTGGTCTGTAGTTACCTTGTATTATCTTTGTCTGGCTTTGATGTCATTGTTATGCTAGCTTCATAGAACAAGTTGGGAAGCATTCCCCCCTCTTAAATATTCTGGAAAAATTTGAGAAGTACTGGTAGTAGTTCTTTAAATGTTTGGTAGAATTCACCAGGGAAGTCTTCAGGTCCTGGGCTTTTCTTCGTTGGGTGATTTTTGATTACTGATTTAATCTTCTTAGTTATAGTAAGTTATAGTAATTCAGATTGTCTGTTTCTTCGTGATTTAGTCTCTATAGGTTTTGTGTTTCTAGGAGTTTTTCCATTTCATCGAGGTTATCCAATTTGTTAGCATACAATTTTTCATAGTACTCTTAAAATCTTGTTCATTTCCGTAGAATCAGTGGTAATGTCCCCACTTTCATTTCTGAGTTTAGTCATTTGAGTCTTCTTTTTCCCTTAGTCCATCCGGCTAAAAGTTTGTCAATATTATTCATCTTTTCGGAGAACCAGCTTTTGGTTCCATTGGTTTTTCCCTGTTGTCTTTCAATTCTCAATTCATTTATCTGTGCTATGCTCTTTACTATTTCCTTTCTTCTGTTAGCTTTGGCTTCAGTTCTTTTTTTCTTTTTTCTAGTTAAGTTTAATTATATTGTTGACTTCAGATCTTTCTTGTTTTTATTTTTTGTTTTTTAAAGACTTTATTTACTTATTTGTGAGAGAGCATGGGCAAGCAAGAGAGTGAGAGAGAATATGAGCAGGGGGGAGGCGTAGGGGGACAGAGGGAGAAACATGACCTAAGCCAAAGGCAGATGCCTCCTGAGCCACCCAGGTGCCCCTCTTTCTTGATTTTAAAGATTTTATTTATTTATTTGGCAGAGAGAGAGACAGCGAGAGAAGAACACAAGTGGGGGAGTGGGAGAGGGAGAAGCAGGCTCTCCACTGAGCAGGGAGCCTGATGTGGGGCTTGATCCCAGGATCCTGGGATCATAACCTGAGCCGAAGGCCGACGCGCTTAATGACTGAGCCACCCAGTCACGCCTCTTTCTTGATTTTAATTGGGAGCATTTATAGCTATAAATTATCCCCTTAGCACCACTTTTTCTGCGGCCCATGTGTTTTGGAATGTTCTTTTTCATTTTCATTAGTCTCTGTATTCTAATTTACCCCGTGGTTTCTTCTTTGATCCATTGGTTGCTTGAAATGTATCGTTTGATTTCCTCAATATTGTGAATTTTCAGTTTTCTTTGTACCGATTTCTAATTTCATCCTGCTGTGGTCAGAGAGGATGATGTGTATGATATCTTTATTTTTAATAAGTTTTTAACTTTAATTCCAGGATAGTTAACACACAGTGGAGTACGAGTTTCAGGTGTTCAGTGTGGCGACTGACCAATTCCACCCATTACTCATGCTGGTCCTGATACCTGATAGGCGCACTCTTAATCCCCTTCACCTGTCGCACACACCCCTCCCTCCTAAGTGACTCAGGTCACTTAGCCTGATGCTGTCTAGCTCCATCCATGTTGTTGCACATAGCAGGATTTCATTCTTTTCGTGGCTGAGTAATATTCCATTCCATATACCACCCCCCCACCAGTCTTCTTTATCCATTCACCTATCATTGGACCCTCAGGATTTTGTAAATAATGCCGCTGTACACATAGGGGTGCATATATCCCTTTAAATTTATGGTTTTATATTTTTGGGGTAAATACTCAGTAAGGTAGTTCTATTTTTAACTTTTTGAGGATGATCTCTTTTCCACAGTGGCCGCACCAGTGGAGGGGCTCCTTTTTCACCACATCCTCACCAACACCTGCTGTTTCTTGTCTTTTTGGTTCCAGCCGTGCCGGCGGAGTGAGGGGATCTCTCGTCGTGGTGGTGGCTTGCGTCTCCCCGATGCTGAGTGATGTCGAGCATCTTCTCATGTGACTGTTGGCCATCTGCGCATCGTCTTCGGAGGTAGGTCGTCCTTTAGTTTCATTGCTCATTTCCTTCATTGTGTGGAAGCTTTTTATTTTAGTGAAGGCCCAGTAGTTTGTTTTTGCTTTCATGTCCCTTGTGTCAGGAGACGTATCTAGAAAAGTGTTCTACGATGTGAGGGACATCACTGCCTCCCTCCTAGGACTTTTATAGTTTCAGGTCTCATATTGAGATCTTTAACCCAGTTTGCATTTATTTTTGTGTGTGGTGAAGGGAAGGGGTCCAGTGGTGGTGGTGGTATATGTTTCTGTCCAGTTTTCCCATTACTGTTTGTTGATGAGACTTTTTCCCACTGGACATTCTTTTCCTGCTTTGTCAAAGAGTAACTGACCATATTGTGGGTTTATTTCTGGGTTTATTTATTTCTGGGTTTTCCATTCCGTTCCATTGGCCTATGTGTCTGTTTTTGTGCCAGGACCGTACTTCGGACTACCACAGCTTCGTAAGATAACCTGACGTCTGGGATTGTCATACCGCTGGTCTGGGTTTGGTTTTCAAGATTGCTCCGGCTAGCCAGGGTGATTTGTGGTCCCGTGCAAACTTTAGGCTTGTTCCAGCTCTGTGAGAAATACTGTTGGTATTTTGGTAGGGATCGCTGTGTGTGACGTCTTTGAGGCTTAATTAGTGGCCCGATACATGGTCTTTTGTGGAGACTGTCCCGTGTGCACCTGAGAAGGGGTGTGCTGCTCCCGGGCCGGGGACCGTGCCCGTGTCTGTCAGTGCCACTAAGTCCTCTATTTGCTGCTGTCTGGTTGTCCTGTCCATTACCATGGGCGGGGGATTGAATCTCCGAAGGTCACTGTAGAGCTGTTTCTCCCAGGATCGTCCCGGAAGAGAGGAACAAATGAAACCAGAGGGAACCAGAGAGGGAGACAAACCATAAGAGACTTAATCTTAGGAAACAAACTGAGGGTTGCTGGAGGGGAGGGGGACAGGCGGTGGGGAGCGCGTGTGTTGTAATGAGCACTGGGTGTTCTATAAGCCTGATGGATCACGGACCTGTACCCCTGCAACAATACGTCATGTATTGATAAAAAAACTGTTTCTCCGTTCAATTCTGTCAGTTTTTGCTTCACATATTTTGATGGTCTGTCATTAGGTGTGTAAATGCTTGTAATTGTTATGTTTTCTTGCTCTATGGAGTCGTTTATTATGTCATGTTCTTTTCTGAGTCCTGTACCTTTATGATGGCACATCTGTTCTGTCTGATACTGGCAGAGCTCCCGCCCTCTTGCTGTCCGTTTGCATGGAACAGCTCCTTGCATCTAGTCACTGTCATCCCGCTTGTCTTGGACCTTACGTGAGTCCCTTGCAGACAGCATACAGTTGTACGTATGCTTTTATCCATATGCCAATTGCTGTCTTTTTTTTTTTAAGATTTTGTTTATTTGAGAGAGAAAGCAAGAGCGAGGGGGAGGGGCAGATGGACAAGCAGGCTCCCCATTGAGCTGGGAGGCCAAAGAAGGACTCAATCCCAGGACCCTGGGATCATGACCTGAGCCGAAGGCAGAGGCTTAACCCACTGAGCCACCCAGACGCCCCTAGGGTGATTTTTTTTGTAGTGAAATGTTTAAATCTCTTCTTCATGTCCATTTGTGTGACTTTATAGCTATTTCTTTGGTGGCTCCTGTGGGGATTTCATTTAATATCAAAATTACAACATTCTAATTTGAATTTATAGCAACTTAACTTTAGTAACATAGAAGAACTCTGCTCCTTTATAGTTCTGTCCCCACCACTTTGTTGTCAGTGTCCTAAAATTACATCTTTATACAACATGTGCCTGGAACATAAGCTAATAATTCTTATAAATGCATTAGTCTCCCAAATCCTGTAGAAAATAAGATTTGGAGTTAACAAACTGAAGGTACAGTGAAACTAACTTTTACATTAATAATTGTTTTTCTTGGGGCGCCTGGGTGGCTCAGTGGGTTAAAGCCTCTGCCTTTAGCTCAGGTAGTGATCTCAGGGTCCTGGGATCGAGCCCTGCATTGGGCTCTCTGCTCAGTGGGGAGCCTGCTTCCCCCCTCCCACCCCCGCTGCTTGTGTTCCCTCTCTGTCTGTCTCTCTTTCTCTGTCAAACAAATAAAGATTTAATTTATTTTAAAAAAAGAAGAAGACTGTTGTTTTAAAGTCTGCCCGGGGCATCTGGGTGGCTCAGTCTGTTAAGCATCTGCCTTCGGCTCATGGTCTTGGGGTCCTGGGATTGAGCCCCGCATCAGGCTCCCCGCTCAGTGGGAAGCCTTCCTCTCCCTCTAACCCTCCTCCCTGCTCCTTCTCTCTCAAGTAAATAAACAATCTTTTTTTAAAAATAGACTTTGTCAAATATGCCTGTCATTAAACTTTTCAGGGACAGAGCCTTTATTTTTTTCCTTTGATTGGCCATATTTCCCTATTTCTCTATATACCTTGTGACTTCTTGTTGAGCATGTGGTAATTCTGGAAGTTGGATTCTCCCCTCTTGCCAAGGATTGCTTTTTTTTTCGTTATTTTTGTTTTCTTTTTGATGGAAGCGGTCTCTACCAGGAATCAGCCTGAGGTGTAAACTTTGTCTTCTTATGTCTTTTCTAAGCCTTTCCTTGGGCTTGGCCATTCCTTTCTGGTTTTCCCCACATATGCAGAAGTTTTGGAATATGCCAGGCTTTTTTTTTTTTTTTTAAAGATGTATTTGTTATTTGAGAGAGTGTGCTTGTGCGGTGGCAGGGGAGGGGCAGAGAGAAAAGGAGAGAGGATCTCAAGCAGACCCCCTGCTGAGGGCAGCCCCCCCCCCACCATAGCAGGCTCCGTCTCATGACCCTGAGATCACCCACGACCTGAGCCAAAATCAAAGAGTCTGACCTTCAACTGACCGCATCACCCAGATGCCCCCAGTGTGCCAGTCTTTAATGTCTGGCTCCCCCTGAAAGGCAAAAAGTGAGAAATGAAGGGGGAACTGAAAGGCACGGACCCTTTAAATCTCCTGGAGGGCACTTGAACCAGAGTGGGGACAGGCTTGGAACAGTACGGGGACATGCCATGACCCTGGCTGCCTGCCTTTCTGCGCCTCTGTGATCAGAGCAGCAGCCAGAGCACAGACGCCTGCTGTCTGGAGGGCGGGTTCCTTTCTCCCACCCGGACTCCTAGAAGCCGTGTGCCCGCTGCCTGGGGAGGATGTGGACGGCCGCTGTGGGGTGGCGGAGGGTGGGGGCCAGGCTGCTGCTACGGTGCAGAGCTGAACCAGCGCAAGTTCCTCACCATTTTCACCAGCCACGCCTTCCCCTGCAAGCGGCAGGCCTTCAGCAAACTCGAGTTCCCGAACAGTCACGCCCAGCAGGTTGGGCGGCACCGTCGTTGTCCAGGGGTGGACACGGGGACGGCCTACTCTGCCCTTTCCCAGAATCCGCTCCCGTGGTCATTCTTGTTTCTGGTTGTTGGTCACACACCGTGTGCATGTGTCCAGGTTCATCTGCAGAACTCGGAGTAGAACTGGTGGCCAAGCTGTCTTTACCAGAGGACCGTGTAGCCGCCCCCCGCCCCGCAGTGTGGGGTTCGTAGCGGCTCAGACGCCAGGGGCCAGGCGGCGGCCTCCGTCCCGGTCCCCCCGCTACTGGCGAGGCTGGGCGGCTTTTCATTTATTTATTGGCCATTTGGAGTGTTTCTGTTTTAAAGAGCCTGTTTCAGCTTTCGTAGTGATTTGTGTTCTTCATGTATGTTAGGTACAAGTCCCTCATGGGTACGTGTGGAGACTGCTCTCTGCCCCGCTGGCTCTTCAGTCTGTGTGGTACGTTTGGTTTCACCAGTTTGTGTTAAACGTTACTCTGTGCCTGGTAATGCTCAGCGTTGTTTTGCGAATAACTTACTTTGATCAACAGAAGTGCTTACTACCGGCTTTATCGGCATTTCCCTTTACGGTTAATGGGTGTGTGTGCACCTATGTGACTGAAGAAATTTCGGGGCGCCTGGGTGGCTCAATCAGTTCAGCGGCTGCCTTCGGCTCAGGTCCTGATCTCAGGGTCCTGGGATCGAGCCCCGCATCGGGCTCTCTGCTCAGCGGGGAGCCTGCTTCTCCCTCTCCCTCTGCCTGCCTCTGCCTACTTGTGATCTGTCAAATAAATAAAATCTTAAAAAAAGAAAAATTTTTCCTGATGTGGTGTCTTTACAATACTTTTTTTTCTTGTGGTAAAATATACTTAACATAAAATCTACCATTCAGCCATTTTTAAGTGTATAGTCCCGTGGTATTAGGTACATTCACATTGACTTTAATTCTCTACGGAAATTCTATACCCATTTAACACTAAGTCCCCAACCCCCGCCACACACAGCCACCCCCAGCAACGGTCATTCTACCCTCTACCTAATCTGTATCTTTTTTCAAGCAGCTAAGCCTTATGTCCACACCCAGTGACTGGAGATAGCACCATTATCTTGTACCTGGGTTCTGTATGTATTCGTGTCTGTTTCTAGACTTTCTATTCTGATCTGCTGGTCCGCACCACATTGCATTGTAGATGTGCTATAGGATATTTTGTTCTTTTTTTTTTTTTTTTTTAAGATTTTATTTACTTATTTGACAGAGATCACAAGTAGGCAGAGAGGCAGGCAGAGCGAGACGGGGGGAAGCAGGCTCTCACACAGGGCTCCACCCCAGGACCCTGAGACCATGACCCGAGCTAAAGGCAGAGGCTTAACCCACTGAGCCACCCTGGTGCTCCAGGACATTTTGTCCTGATAGGGCTTGCACCCCTCCCCCGGTTGTTTCCTTTGACTATTTTGGGAGTTTTAAAATATATTCCGGATACAGGTCTCCTTTCATCAGATACGTGACTTGCAAACACTTTGTCCGAGTTGGTAGCCCGCCTCTTCCATCTCTGAACAGTATCTTGTGCAAAGCCAAGTCTTAAAAGTGGCTCCAGTCCGACTTGCCATTGTTTCCTTTTATGGATGTTTTGAGGTCCTAAGATCAAAGATCGAAACATAAATT